GCAAGCCTTGGTCGCTGTCCAGAAGTTAACCCTCCGCGTAGCAGCAGAGCAGAGAGACGTGGCCAACATGTGCACCGAGTTCTGGATCCTTCCACGCACGGCCTCAATCGCTCGAAGGTTTCGAGGCTGGTGAGGGGTACCACCAGGCAGCCACAAAAGCGGGTGAGGGACGCAAGCTGCGGCCCCCCCACGTGCACATAGCGGCGGGGGTGGCCGGGGCGATGCACGACACGTTCGGGGGCGAGGGGGCCGAGGGAGAAGCCGAGAAGGCACTCGCGCCGTGGATGGAAGCAGCAGGTCCAGAGGAGCACGGGAAAGCATGCGTGGACGAGTTTTTTTCCGGATGTTCCGACTGCGGGAGTGTTAAAGCATACGTTGACCGAGGATGGAGCCAAAGAAGCGGCCGCTCAATTTGTCATGGAACACACCAGCTATCGCCCGGAGGCAAATGACCCTGAAAGGCTACGACTATCGGGCGAAGTAACGCATGAAATCCCAGAACATGTGCGCAGCACAATTGATTGGAGCTGGAAGGTCCTTGTTCCAGCACTGGAGTTGGGCCATCGCATTATTCGTGTGATTGCGATTGTTCGCGAGATCATTAGTTGCTTCGTCGCAGAGGGACATTGCATTGTATACCCTGGGGCTCGCTTTCTTACCCAAGGCACCGGCGTAGGTTACGGTGACGACAAGCGTCGAAAGGACGCATACGCCCCTGATTGCCGCATTCGTGTGGCGATTGAGACAGGCGACCCTATTGAGGAATGGGCCCGTAAATTGGGTAAACAGGCTCGTGCCGATATCCGTTGTCAGGGCATGAAGTTAGAAGAAGCTATTTATTGGCTGTACCCACATGTGGAAGCCACTGAGCTTCAAGACAAAGATGAAGGCCACCTTCGTGGTGCCTGCGGCAAGTTTGGTATTCTTGTTGCCACTGCCGCAAGGGATATTATGTAATTCGCCAGAAAGCGAGTGATGACTATTCGCGAGAGAGGAGGCGCTGATGGGCCCCCGGACGGCCAAGCCGATACGGAGGGGCCCGCCTTGGCGAAAGCGAGGCCCAGGCCGCCACCTCCTCCGCGCAGACCCGACGTCCAAGACGATCGGGCTAACGATGAAGTCACGGAATCTCCGTGCTCTGCCGGCGGTCAAACCGCTGCGGCAGGAGTTGAGTATTCATGGTATTCGTCTGACAGGGACACGCGGGATTGGTCGAGGCCCACGCGCGCGCGCGGCGGAGCCATGGATGTCGGGCGCGGTGCTGCCGGCTACGACCCCTTGAAGCACTGCCCGCACTACGCCAATGATGTGCTGGGTGGATACTGGGTTCACCGGGACGTGATATCCTGGATGAGCCCGAGGGGCAACCAGTCACGCGTGTGGCATGCGGTGCGCATGAATGATTACAACTATTAGTTTCCGAGGAAAGGAAAGGACTCCAAGAACAAAGACAAGCGCAACAGGTCAGCGCCTTACGCTGGCCGCGGCAAAGGATTCAGATCCCGGTCGCCCCATTGGGCCGCGGGTCAGACGGGAGGTTCGTCATCTTCATATCCGAGACCTCCGTCTCCGCCATCGCGGGGATATCTCTAGAACAAGATCTGAGAGAAGGCCGAGCCCGCGCGACCAAATCGCTGCAGGCTCAACCGATCGACAAAGTCGTATCGACAGAGAGAATGTATTTAACTATTGGTGGGAATCGTCGGGTTTCTTCGGCCCTCAGCTCCCTGGCAGCCACCGTCGAGCGGTAAAAGTTTGCGCGGTTCGCTCTGGTGGTTGTATATATGTACAGGCCAGGCGAGCTGTGGCTGGATGGGCCCTACGAAGCCCGCCGCGGGGGGAGTAAATATGCTCCTCTCCGCCTCATCTTACACTTGCCTCTCTCGCTGCCTTCCTTGCCACACCCTGACACTGCGGCTTTGTACCGCAGCTGTTTGTGCTTACAGGAAATAAAAGGAGCGTGTTGGCTCGCACGCGCGCGCCGAGGGGTCGCTCCCTCGTCGTAGTCGTGTCGTCGGCCGGCCGGCCTCCTCCCTTGCAACTCCTGAGTGCAGTTGCTTGACGGTTACTTATAGTTTCATCGATGTCTCATCCCGTACCCTCTACTACTGAGCAGAGTCAACACGAGACCTTGATTCCTTTGTCATTTTACTCCGATTCTCAGAGGAAAGACTCGGGTAGCTGCTACCAGCTGCTGTGCGCGTTGTTCATGGGATGCTTTCTCGCGATGGCGCCGATGTGCACTCGCAGGGGTTGGGTGACGGATCCCTTGACATCCGATGCTGTGAAAACGTAGGCTCGTATCTTGCAGGACGGTCGCCTCTCCGACGCGGTCATGCGGGTATTGTTTTCTTTGGGATTTGCCGCGGCAGCAAACCCGAAGCCTTGGGCTTTGTCCCATCGGCGCCATCATTATCACTTATGCCAGGGCCGGCTTGATTTTTTCAGATCCTTGGAGGCTCAGGGAAGCCTCGGGTCAGGAATGGGGCCTCCTTTCGGTCTCCCTTGGGTTGTTCGCCAGGCGGGCAAGGTTCGTTGCGCGTCGCAGCTCCGACGAGGCCGCCCTTGCCAACATCGGGCCAGGGCAAGCTTGGCGAGGCGAGATTTTCGGGCGGCCGCTTCAAGGAACTCCTTCATCGGAGAGTCGAGGACTCGGGCGAGGCGCGGACGGGGGGGACCTGGGGATCCAGAGAGCAGCGCACTCTGAGGGGCCTTGTCATGTGCTCTCGCTGCTGCCAATACCGCTTGCGTTTGCACGACCAGCAGCTGTCGACTCAGCCCTTGTTTTGCGGAGAGCGGGGCACGTTTTTTCGCAGGCCCGTCGCTTGCCCTGCTCGCTAGGCCTGGCGACGTGACAACCTCCCGTCGGAGGTCGCGGCCGCCGCTGGTCGCTTGTCCCAGTTTTCGGTCGTGCTCCAGGAGAGGCTTGCGCGAGGCATCCTTCCTGATCCCTGTCAGCTCCTCGCCGGGAAACTTTTTGGGATCTTTCCACGGAATTCAGGGTTGAAGGAGCGGGTGCGCCGCTCATGCTCCAAGGTGGCAATGTTTTTTTCGATGGCTCAGGTGTGGATGGCCTGTTACCCTCGCTTCGCGTGGCTGGATGGGGCACTGCTGTCTATGACCATGAACGCCAATGGGTTGCGGGATGGTACGGCTCGGTCCCCCTTACCTCTTGCCCCGATCAGGTGGCCAGGGACGGCAAGGACTACGCTGTCTTCGTGGCCTCGAATTGTTTAGGTGGAAGTTACACTTTGTACTTGGACTGCCGGGGCGCCTTGCAGTGTTGCCGCGATCGCGCGCATGCCTGCCGAGCCGCCAACATCCGTGCCCACTTGTGGGGCCAGATTTGTGAGGACGATGTCTTCTCTGGAGCCACGCTTAAACAGGTGATGGCCCACGCCTCGATGGGGGATGTGCGGGAGGGGCGGTTGTCGGAGTTTGAGCGGGCGGGAGATCACGGAGTGGACCGCCTTGCAAAGCAGGGGGCCGCCCTAAGTCGCTACGATCCGCAGGATACCCTGCTGGCGAAGGGAATGTTATTTCTTGCTCGCCTGACTTTGAAGTTCATCACCTGGTCGGAAGTTGTTTGCAGCGACGGAGGCAGCTTCGACAACCTCAATGTCGGAGCTCAGGGCTTCAGTTTGATTTCGCTTGGGGGAGATGCTGGTTGGGATGAGGCACTGGAGGCGGCTCGGCGTGTGGAGGCTGCCGCTGCTGCTGCTTTTTCTGCTCCTCCCTCTGGGCCTCCCCCTCCTGTGCCCGCGCCTGCGTCTTCGTCTTCCTCCCCGCAGGTGGACGATGAGTCTAGGGTGCAAGTTTCCTGTTTTGTCGGACGGGGCCCCGCCGCTTCTGTTTTGCTCCACGTGTGGTGGCTACGCCACAGCCTCCCAAGCAGCCAGAGGTTTGAAAGGCCCTTACCTGGGGTCGCAGGTGGCCCTTGTCGGGGCCGGCCGCAAAAACAAATTCAGCATCTGTCGGTTGAGGCATCCCCACCGACTCTTCAGGTTGGGCCCAGGGTGCACCCCGGGGGGGCCAGGTGTGGGAGCTGTTCGCGGGGAGGTGCGTGGAAAGCGGTGTTTGGGCCCAGCCTGGAGGAGGGAGGAGCGAACTTGCTCCGCGGTTTTTCAATCGGAATGACTTGTGCCTGTCCGATTGCCTCCAGGCTTTCGGCTTGAACGAAGGGGGGGCACGGAGCCTCGGCAGCAAGCTTTGCGTCAAGCAGCAGGCCAATGGCCTGCTAGCAGGGGACGAAGACGAGTTGTTGTTCCTTATGGGGGGCCCTGTCGTTGGCCCCCGGCAGGGTTTGGCCCCCTGCGAGGGTGTCAGAAAAGGTCCTCGCTGATGGGCCTCCCCCGGGGGCAGTTTGGACTTGTCGGACCCTTTCTCTCTCTCTCTCTCTTTCCCCTCAGTGCGATCCTCCTCCTCCTCCTCCCTCCTTCCTCCTCCCTCCTCCTCCTCCTCATCCTCCTCCTCCTCTTCCTCCCTCCTCCTCCTCCCTCCTCCTCCTCCTCGCCTTCCTCCTCCTCCTCCTCCTCCTCCTCTCTCCTCCTCCTCCTCATCTCCTCCTCCTCCTCCTCCTCCTCGCTCCTCCTCTCCTCCTCCTCCTTCTCCCCTCCTCCGCCTCCTCCTCCTCCTCCTCTTCCTCCCCCCTCCTCCTTAGCACGGCTAGCGCACGGTAGCCCATGGGACATTATTCCCTGGGAGGAAAAAAAAGGCCCAAACATTATCCAGTTCGCACAACAATAGAGGGACAATAATCCCCGCCGCGATTAGGAGGTTTTAGGACCAGTGTTCTTTGTTATTTTCCGCCGAGCGATCACGAGGGGCAGTCAACACTAAAAACGTCAGTGGGTCATGGACATCCCGACGCCTGGAACTTCCTAGATACAGAGCGCGCGGAACGCGCGCGAATGTGTCTAGTACGTATACAGATGTGTGAATATTTATATTTATATACATATATATATATATATATATATATATATATATATATAGCTGTCTATACATTGATCATGGGCTTGGGATCGACCCGGCAGCCGGCGTCCCCTGGCACATGTCCGAGTTCGTGGTGTTGCCGAACGGCGTGGATCGCCTGGGCCTGCGCGAGGAGGCCTCGCTGCCCAGGGACCTCCATGCGGCCCTGTCCGGGGTGCGCCGCACGGAGGATTTCCTCAGGCGGCTGGCCGGGGAGGATATCGGCCACGCGCAGAGGGGGGTGCCCCGAGCCCCTCGGGCCATGGAAAATTTCAAGACGGGAGGTGTTGCGCTATTTTCGGCCTCGAGGGGGCCCTTCCTGGGCCCCAGGACCGTATAAAAAACCATTCAGAACGAGAAACCAGTCCAAGAGTCCAGAATTCTGGGAGTCGACGTCATGAAAGGCATGACGTCGGGGGTCTGGGTATGGGGAGGTGGAAGGCTTGAGGCGGCTTCTTAGAGGGCGCGGGCCTTATTTATGGATGCAGGGCCGGCGCCTTCTGCGAAGCAGCCTCTTTCTAAGAAGCCGCCCCCTCTCCCCGTACCCCTTTTGCGCGCGCCGCCAAAGGACGCCATGCTAGAGAAGTACAAGGCCGGAGTCGAGTACGTTAGCATGGAGAAAGGCAGGGTGCAGGTGAGCGTGCTCCCGAAGGAGCGGCGCAACCTCCGGGGGCGCATCCGCGAGGTGCTCCGGCTGGTGGACGAGGGCAGGGCCGATGCGGAGATGCTCTACGTGGCGGAGATGCGGCTGATGCACGAGCAGCCGCACCCAGTCGGCGGCGAGAAAGTGAAGACGCTCTGCCAGAGGGACGTGAAGGATCGAGCAGTGGCGAAGCGTCCTGATTTGCCTACAGGCCCACCAAAAAAGTTCGAGAACATTTTGTGGTCTGCACGAAATGCTATTAGAGCATTTCTGGCTGAGACTGTCTTGTTTCAACGTATCAGGCTTATGTTCTAAGAATATGGTTTTTGTTCTTAGGGCATTTCTGGGTTCTTCTGGGTTCTAATAACATGTCGTGGTAGGCCTGTGGGAATGCTGGGACGGTCGGTCCCTGCTCAAAAGGATGTGCTGGGCCCATATGCGTCGTGGTCGTTGTACTGGGACCGCCACGATGAGGGGCTGTTCGTGGGCAACCCGAAGAGCGGCAAGGGACTCCACGTGGACCAGGTGCTGTGGAGCAACGTCGGGAAGAACTGGCGAGGCCACAAGCTGATTGCGGCGTGGCCGAAGGGCGAGGTCAGCAGCAGAATCGCCACGGAGTTCGACGATGTACTCTTCTTCCCACCCCTCGCCGAGCGGGAACTGGCGGCCCTGCGGGAGGCGGCCAAGGTCGTGCTCGTGCGGCCAGGCGACGTCTACCTATTGCGAAGGCAATACGGCCAATGCCGCCGACCCTGAATGACGACGACGACGACGACGACGACGACGACGACGACGACGACGACGACGACGACGAGCGCTCTCGGGTGCCTCTTGGGGGTAGTTTGAGGTCTTGGGGGAGTCTTGGGGGCCGCTTGGGAGCCTCGTGAGGGCCTCTTGGGGCTTTCTGGGGGTCTCTTGGGGGCCTCTTGAGGCCTCTTGGGGGGCTTCTTACGGGCCCCTGGGGGCCTCCTGGAAGCTTCTCAAGCCGAGGGCTCGAAAAGACCGTTCGGGTCCCTCGTCTGGGCTCCCTCTTGGAGCCGTCTTGGAGGCCTCTTCGGCTGTCTCGGAGGCCTCTTGAAGGCCTTTTGGGCCATCTTGAGGCGGTCTTGAGGGCGTCTTGGATCGTCGGGAAGCTGACAAGGCGATAATGCCGAAATCTTTCAAAACCTAGGGGAACTCTATGATTTTTGCCCCATTGAAGCCCTCTTCGAAGTCCTCTTGGAGGCCTCAGGCCTCTTGGGGCGTTTTGGAAACCTTTTGAGCCGTCTGGAGTCTATTTTGGCGACTTGACTTCAACCGAGTTGCAAGGGGAGGCTGTATAGCGAACGCTGTATCCGACGCTGTCTTGGCTCAAAGCAGCGCTGTCCTATTTGCTAGTTGCACGGCCGCGTGCGACTCTATTGGGATCATAGCATCGGATAGAAACCACGTCTATCTATGATTTGCTCTTCTATCCCATGGCTTCTCTCGTACCTCTCGCCACGCTTGCCATCAAGGGATGAGTTGTGGGATACCTTCATACGTCGCCGACGCTATCCTGAGAGTAGGGTTCCCAGCTTATTACCTCATGGTCAAGCCATGTACCCTTAATTTTCAGTTGGTAGCGGAGCTGGTTACATCTTCGTGTGGTTGGTTCTTACATCGGGTGTTATGCACGTATCCACATATCACGGCACAGTGGATTACCCGGCTGCGCCGGCTCTCAGCCACTACACCCCAATACTGTCGAATCAATTGGTAATTTACATTCTTATACCTCCATATCCCCACTGCGTGGCCACGGGCCGCGCTCAACCCAAACGCGATACTTATCCGCAAGCTGACGGCCACGTCAGACCAGACACCCAGTCGCAACCCAATGGACGCGACAATATCCACCGATAAGCATTTAACACCATCAGCTACAACATGAACGCGTACGACGTTAAGGTCACCATGTTTGGAACTATCAGGATGTGTCTGGGCTTTGCCGTGGCATGCATGCGAGGAGGAGGACTGGACGAAACGCACACTTGAGGTCCCTTTTGGGACCCCGCGGGCAGCGTACCTTTCGCGAGTTTGCTCGTGAAGTACATGCATGGCTTAACGTCACAAGTGGAAGCATGACTCCACCTCAACAGGCCGCAGCATTACAGCGCGGTTTGGGAGGATTGGTTAGGACACTAGCCATGAGGGCGCCGTCCACCATCGGCTATTATGGTGATACGTTGCAGGGGAAACGCACCAATGGAGTCACATACATCATGTGCTTACCAAAAAACAGATTTAAAGACCATGAGGATGAGCGATAGCTCGCCTCAGGGACAGCCCTCATCGACTTCAGGGTCGAAGAGGCGAAAGCATGGACCCAGTGTGGGCCCGGTTCGAGATGGCCAGGTTGGAAGCAGACTCAGCAGGCTTTTAAATCCCCAACTTCCAGATCCTTACGCTGATCTTATTTCGTGTCTTGGGGGTCGGGACCCCCCGAGCGGCACAGCAGCCGCTGCCGCCGAACCATCAGATGTTCCGTGCGCAACAACAGTGCGACCAACTCTTGGAGCGAATGCGCAGCCATGGGCACTTGGCCGAGCGTTCACCAGGCAACATCGGGAGAATCTTCAGCGGGCGCAGCGCTGGCACATACCACTCCGAGATAAGCGACGCACCGGCAGCCATGCCAACTAACATTTTGGAATGATGGGGAACCCGCTGAGTCCATGGCGTTTCGAGGCCAAGACGCCAACAATAACGACCAACAGGCTGCTGGTTCAAACGTGGGCTGGCCAACAGCGGCTGGCCACGCGCCACTTGGAACGACTACTCTCTGGTGCTCGCCCAGCCACCAATGCAACGATGTATTCGGCTCTGGCGCGGATGCCGACGCGGTCTCCTCCACCTGCGCCGAAAGCCTCAATTGGCCAGACCTACCCGCCAGTGATGATGCAGTTGCTCACTACCCATGCCTGGGATTTCATCGCGCAAGAATCAGGTGGAGGCGGTAGTTTATGAAGAAGCCTGTCAGGAGGCCCCGGCGAGCTGCGCGTCGCGTCTTCGGCCGCAAAGGAGAGGGTCGCGGCGAAGGTGGTAGACGCGCCGGCATGTTGCACTGCAAATGCATAGCCGCGTTCGTGGCTCGGTTCTCGGTTGACCGACTGCGACTTTGCAGAACTATTCCTTGGAGGCAAGGGCAGAGGCGAAGGTCGCAGGCGCACGGCGGGCAAGGGCAGCGGACGCAGGCTCAATCCAACGGGCAAGCACGGAAAACGAATGACGCGCAATGCATGCGGGAGCAACAAACACTTCCAAGCGCAGCGTTAAAGGTGGTGGAAAGGTGGGCGGATCCGCGCTCCTCGGGTCGGACCAGTCCGAAGCGGATATCATCGAATGCGTTGATTTCCCCGAACTCGACCACCCCCTTGCCTCTCATACCAGTTCGCCTTTGTCTTTCACGGCCCACTTTGCCAGCGCCCCCGCGTCTGTCGAGCGGTGCGCGGAGTGCCTTCGCGACGGGGTCAAAGAGATCCACGACGCCCCCATCGAGGATTGGGTCGGCACGCGCCGGCGCGGACGCGTGCAGGAAGAATTTGGATATGACGACGAGGGCGAGTACATGTCCGGTGCGGAGACCACACCTGCCACTGGCGCTGAAATAACTGAACAGCTCGGACACGAGTCGATACGCCCACGCCCGCTCCTAGCCACGACAGTATTTGGCCTCGCGGAGGAGGGGCGGGCCGCGGCGGGTTGGGGCCAGACCCACACCGACGCATTCATGATGCGGGGCAAGCCTGGCATGGCCCCCCGTCTGCTCCGGCGAACCTGACAAAGGCTAGAGTTGAAGCGGTCGCCGGGGCCGCAGCTCGACGGCCCGCCGCGCAGCAGGCGGTTCAGGTGGAGCTGGGAAATGCAGCCCGGACACGGGTGGCCCTGGCCGCGGACGCGGCCAATCTCGAGGCGTTGGTCATTCTAGGGAGAAAGGCTACGCCGATCCAGCCGATCCGCGCGCGGCTCGAGCTCCGGCGACAGAGGATGGGGAAAGGGTATGCCTCCTCAATAAAATGGCGCACCTCTTTCGCGCGACAGCCAGTGCCCCCGCATGAAGATCGATGGCGCTGATCTCATTTTTCCTCGAGCAGGGCTTTACAGGGGCCCGGATTCGCTTTTTTTTTTTATATTAAAAAGGGCATCCAAGCGTAAGGTTATTGATGAATTTAGGGGATGCCGCATTTGCCCGTGCCCAACTCACAGTCAACATCGTGGAACTTGCCATATTGACTGTCCATCACGTAGCCCAGATCATGGCAAGGCGCCCATGCATCCCGATCACGGTGATGGCATTAGCAGTAGTACTGTCGCGTCCATTGCAGACTACGTCTCGTTGTCCGACGACGAAATACAATAGACCCGAAAAATGAGAGTTAAATGAGACAGGACAGATCGTCGGCAGTTCTAGGGCTAACGTTCCTGCGTCCCATCTTGGATCGACTCGAGCAGCAGATGGAAGGCCGGGGATGGGGGGGGCAGTTCGCTGCGTCAACATTACTTGCCGGGTCAGCGGGCGGACGCGCTCAGGGGGCCCAAGAAGATGTGGCCCCCAAGGAGAAGCTGCGCACTGATCAAGAGGTGGTTCTCGCAGAATCCCCAGAATTCGATAACAAGAACAAGACTAATAAACCGGGTGTGCGCGGTTCCTCCGGGCGCGAAAGCAGTGTTAAGCAGAAGGCTGAGCGGTTTACGGGCGGCTCGATACCTATGCCCGATCAGCCGGTCACCAAGAGATCAGAGCAATCACGAAGGGATCCGGCATGTCGGGGTAGCTGGACACCGAAGCTATTGGCAGCCAGCCAGAGAGGTTCGAGCTCAACCACAGGCAGGGATCAGCCAAATCCCGACGCTCGATTTGGCCCGGCAGCGGTGAGAAAACTCAGGACCATAAGAGACTTGCCGCCGAAGATCTGGGGGGGGCGAAGCCAGGGCGCCAGCAATTTACCGCAGCCACTACCGGTAGGCAAATTGCCTCAGCCCGAGCCGGAAGGCCTCCAAGTGGAACCCTGCCAGCCTCAAGGAAAGAAGAAGACAGTGAAGTTGGGCAGCGCTGCGCAGTCAAAGTTCCAGGGTGGACCGCCTTCGGCAAAGTTCCACGGTGGGCCGCCTGCCGATGCATCCGCTGGGTCGTCGGCCGCGGCCTCGTCATCGGCCCGGCCGCCGCCGACTGCGCTGCTTGCGCCGAGGTCAGAGGCGACGCCCTCCAGGCAGGGCGGCAGCGACATCCCGGCGGGGGCGGGGGCGCCCATGGGTTCTCCAGGACGAGCAGGGGCGGACGCGTCCAACGGAGAGAACAACCTTGGCCCATCCGCGATGCCGACGCAGCATGCCGCCGTAACACCACAAGAAGAGTTACGCTGGAAGCTTCGTCTCGCGGGCTCTCTGACTCTCCAAGAGGAACAGCAACGGCTAGAAACCTTACTGGAGAGACAACAGTACAAGTACTGGCCTTTACCGAGCAAGCGGTAAATGACTGCTATGTCTGCGCGGTGGTCACAAACCTGCAGACATGGGCCATTTCGCGCAAATCAGTATTGCAGGCGATGCATCAGCGAATGCTGCTCCTGGGGCCCTTATGATGGATGGATAGATGTTAAGATTATCTGGCCAACCTCTGGGGCGGTCGTGACTGCGAGGCCGTCTCCACCTGGACGATAGGTCCACTGCCCGAATATGCGACGTCACAACTGCACATTGCCGAGATAACGGACTATTCGGGCGCCGCGAAGGCG